GTGGCTGGCCTCCATTTGTGTACGAGAGGTGTTCTCCGTCTTACACCGGCGGTGCCCACAGCGCTACACGGGCACCGCTAAACGGCCTTTTGATCAAAGGGGTTGATCAAAAGGAGACATGCCACTTGCCCCCTGGCTTTCCGTTTGGCACACGCGGGCCAAAGACGTGCGGGGCCGAGAGCTTCCTCGCTGAGAATTACGGTGAAAAAGGTGGAAGAAGGCTCAAAATTATGCTTGTTGTCCTTTTCCCCCCCTCATCTGCTTCTCCCTTGGATATATATTTTATCTTCGTATTGCATTACCATTTCTAATACTATTCGAATTTATGTCGACGCTTTGTTTTGTCTGTAGAGGCATAGTAAGGCCCACAAAATTGAAAGGTCACAATATTAGGGGTACGAATGAAAATGTAATTTATTTTTTTTCCGTGCCTTTATTCAAAAATATTATTTGGTCTGCAACATGTCAGAAAAGAGGAAACAATCTTGATCAACACCTTCCGAAGTCGAAACAGATTAGCCAATGTCTCGTTTCAACACAAATGGAATCAATCAATCTGCTTTCAAAGAGGACCACAGAAATTCGGGGAATGTTTACCGTTGACAGGCTGACGGCCCGACGATCGGATCAATTTGAATCAATTATCAAACTTGTCGATTGATTTGATCATGGATTTGTTGTCAATTCATCGTTGCACCGTTAATACGAGCTAATTTGAGCAAATTCGAGTCGATCAAACTGGTGGCCCCTTCCATGAATCAGTCGCCAAGAAGTACTGCAGCTCTCAATTTGCTGACCCCGCTTCATCTGGAGAACATTTGTTATTTATACGGTCGGCTGTAGCCGCTCCATCAAATAAAGTATTTGAAACATCTCCAAATATGAGGCAGTGGAGTTCTACAATAGCGCAAACTACAAACACAACAGCAGAGCCCTTTGTAAAAGGAACACCTTTCATGATTGATCGCTGTCATTTTTAGGAAGGCAGATTCAACCGCCATGTTGGATCTAATTCAATTGTGGCGTCGTATCTACCGGCCTGATGTTTAGACTGCAAGTACATATCTTAAGTAGCGACTAACATGACATTAGGTCGACAACTTTATGCTACGAAATGAGTCCATATTCATCGCAAGAACCGCAATGTCTCGCTTGTGCTCATCAATCAACTTACCGTTGCTCGTTGCTTAACAGCGCAAGTCAAAATGTCTGACTATCATTTATTTTCTGCTGAAAGCCAAACTGTGTCCGCACACAGCGGGGCAATTCCAGATCATCCCTAACATCACACCAATGCAAAAAAAAAAAGTGTGGGAATGGGAAACTCGTCAATCACACGTACCGGGTTCTTCCTCATGGCCCCGCCCACTGCCCGCACCGCTCTTGGGTTTCCTGCCATCTCAGCTAAGCGTTTGTAGGAGACCGTCTCCCCGATTTTCACGTCCCTGAACAGGACGTTCAGCACGCGACTGGTGAACGTGTCTGCAGGAAAGAGGAAGGGGTTGGGGGGGGGCAAAAAAAAAAAAAAAACAAGAGGAGATGAAGAGCTGATTTCCACATTTCATCCAACAAAGTGACAGTTGACAAGAGATGAGCACCGAAATAACCACTCGGAGCAACACGGATGGCTGCACCTCAGTACACAAATCAAAAGTTTGACACATTCATCAAGATTTAATTTGCCATCGAGTACCCGTTTCCCAGCTAAATATGCGCAAGTCCCTCCATTTGACCTTAGCACTTGTAATAATACGGTACAGTAGCTGATGTGAGAAAATTATTTCCATGGCAGGAGGGGGGGAAAAAAAAAATCTAGGTTATGCACTGAAAGGTCACAGCTAAAATTAAAAAAGTTGGCTCCTTCATTTAAAAGGATTAAGAGAGGCCAAAAAGACGGCAAATCTGCTCCAGATTTTTAATAATAATAATTTGAATGTTGCATACCATTTGTGGCAGCGGGATGACTTTGAGGTTAATCAGACCAATTTGTCCTTTTAATTGCTTTCTATTCAGAGTAGATTCATTATATCATCTCCGCTTAAATGGCAGAATTCTTCAAATCATCCGCAGCTTAACCGGCCACATTAACAGCTCTGATTTCATTAGCACTTTAGCAGTAGCTTTATCTTTTTTCTTTTTTTTCTCCTTCTTTCGTAGATTACCAGGCAGCGGCGGTGAGGTTTGTCTAGGCTGCCATTGATAAAAAAAATAAATAAATTCAAAAGATGCAAGGCATTTGAAGCATACGCGGAAAAAAAAAAAAAAAAAAAAAACTTGAGACGGTCCGACGGCGCCGAGGCTTTTGTCGCGGGCGAACAACACTTTGCGTGCGAGAGAACACGACGCGGGAACAATGGTCTCGTTATCAAGAGGGGCTGAACTTTGTCTCGTGTACACACGCCCGCGCGTGTACTCAGTCATGAAAATTCAATTAGTGATCTCCCATTCTCTCTCATTTATATGGTCGAAGGGAGCACATGACAAGTGATGGCGGAGAAATCCTCCCCTAAATTGGCATTGTGTGAAAACATGTCACACCCCTGTCTCACTTCTACAGAGTGAACATCCTTTGCTCCCCAGGCTCCCTTCGCTACCTCAGAGTCACTCTCCGCTCCACAAAGCCACGGCAACGAGGCAATTTGCCTAAACTGGGGGGAATAAGTGGAAAACCTAAAGGGGATACATTTGATTGATGCGCACCCATGTGAGTTCTTTGTCTTGAACAAGGCCCGTAGGTACTGTTTAATAATTTTTCAGGTAATAATCACGCTGTCAACGAGATGACGGGCTCTTACACAGACGGAGCCGGCGCTATGACGAGGGAGGATACGCCCCCCCCCC